CTCTATACAGTTATTGATCGATCAGTTAATGTTTCTTTATTTTTTTCTGATAGAGTCTAATTCCACTTTAACTAACATCAGCTTCTTTAAACATAGCCATTTCTCTTTATTTCACACAAACAAAAAAAAGATGATTTCATTCCGCAGCATGTTGTGTGTGCCTCAAGACTTGTATCCTTTTCATATTCTCTAATGGTTTTGCCATCTCCTCCTTCATATTATCCTCTCCAGTGGAATATCTGATTGATGCAAATACAATATTGCTGTTCAGGTCTTTTGTATTTGCAAAATGTGCTTTGTATCTAACTGTCTTGGCTAAATCCCATTTGTATTGAATCCCTGTGTTCAAGTCAATTGGTAATTTCACTCCTTAGGTTCCCCAGGATCATGCATCATTCTTCAGCTGAAATAATGGGCAGCTGATCTATGCCTTGAGTTCTGTCGTTGCTGCTCTAAGTGCTGTGAGACGTCCTGGGGTTGTCTAACTGACTTTGCATTTCAATGTTCTTTTGGAGGGAATGCCTGACTTCCACTTGCGTAATTGCCAAGCGCCTGTCCAAGACTGAACATCAACTGGAGTTTATATAGCGCCCTCCATGCAGGGTAGTGTCCTGGAGCGCTTCAACAATGTCCAGAACACAACTTGACACGACACGTCCCATCACACAGCAGAAGCCAGCAATAAAAAGGATGTTAGAATAATAATAATAATCATAATAATTTGGACGCTCCATCCACGACTGTTTGTGGGACGCTGCTGTGCACAATTGGCTGCCGCATTTCGCCCACAAAATATACAGTCAATTCACTCTACAGTCTAATTCTGTGAAGCGCTCTGAGACGTCTCGAAGACGTGCTAAGGCGCTGTATCAAATGCAAGGATTATTATTATTATTAATGAGTGATATCTGTAGAGTATTTGTTTCAAACAGCTTGCTTCTCTATTAATGAGTCATAAATATCATGCGTTGTATCAGAATATTATAGCGAAAGCTGAGGTAAATAAATGTCTGATTCAGGCGCACAGCAAAAAATCAATCATTTGTAATCTGTCGTGCATTTTATGCAAACCATCACCGTCAAACAAAAGCTAAAGTAGGCTTGACTTGCAGAGTTTGGTTTTAGTATTAACATATGTAGGATGGTACATTGATGCATCATGTATTGATTGTCTGTCAGGTATCACAATCAAGACGTAACAACAGGTTAAGATGCATTTTCTATCTAATGACGAGTGTCATTTACTGTCAACATTTGGATGATAAATTGAACGTAAAATTTGAAAAAATTATCCTTTTGACCTATTTTATCTTTTATAATAATTCAAAACTGTCAAAAAACGTTCACAAACCCTTTTAAATGTACCTTTTTAGCATTTAAAGCAGATTTTGAAAAGTCTCTTATTTTGATGAAATTTAAATAGATGCACTTTTCATATTAGTTATGAGGCTAAAAATTAAAAACAAATATATTTTTAAATGTTATTTTCAGTCATTTGTAAATATAAGTATACACTTTACAGTGTATCCTGTGAAGCGCTTTGAGACATCTCAAAGACCTGATAAGGTGCTATATCAAATGCAAGGATTATTATGATTATTATTATTGCAATCCAGCTTCCAATGCAAACAAGACATATCTGTCTGAGAAGAATTTTTTTTACTCCAATGAATATACACAAGATGCATTTCACATTATTTCTCCAGAGACAAATCATTATTTTGAAATGTATACTCACTCACTAAAGGGCTTCTCTTTCAGAACGAAATTACCAAACATTGATACCAGCTTTGTGGTATTCACCGCTCCTCTGAAATGTGAAGCAGCACTTGAGATAAGAGCAGGCTTTCTCTATTATTGACAGAATACCAAGAATGCCATTATTCTCCAAGTGTCTATTGTGAGTTCATTGCAAATGACATTTTGAAATTTTCCTGGAACATTATATCATACAATTGAAACTGTAATTGCTAGGGGAGTATTTTGGCTTTGGTACTTACTCATCATTAAAGTTTCACATCTTTTCTTGTCCAACGTACGATAAGCATTTCTGAAAACTATTTCAGTTGGATTCCAGCAGTCTTTTCTCTCTCTCTTTTTATTGTGCGTCAGTGCTCATTCAGGCGAGGAATGATGATCCTGAGGAATGGAATTTCCCTTCACTTTGTATCCAGTGACAGCATCAAACATTCCTTCAACCCAGACTGTCTTTAATGTACCTGGAGTCCTGTAGCTCAGTGGTTAGAGCACTCGCCTCGCAAGCGAGAGGATCTGGGATTGATTCCCGGGCCAGGGCGAAACATTGGGCAAGTTTCCTTACTCCACACACCTCTGTTTACCAACAGTGAGCAGGAACCCGGTTGTTAGTCAATTGGTGGATCGCTTTTCTGGGAGTAATAATCCCTTCAAAAAAATAATAATTTGGTCACTCAATCCAGGACTATTTGTGGGACACTGCTTTGCGCAATTGACTTTATTGATTTAAATTCACTTTTCAGTATATTCTGTGAAGCGCTTTGAGAAATCTCGAAGATATGATAATGCGCTATACAAATGCAAGGATTATTATTATTTATTATTATAACCTCATTTTACTCTGTTTTCTTTCTTTATTTCAGGGTGACTTTCCTTCACATGAAGAAAAATGATCAGAATACTGACTGACGTTTGACAAAATTACTCACAATTCGCAGACATTAGATTAAAGACGAACAATGAAAGAACAAAATCAAAGCATGTTCAATAAGGTATTTCCCCTGAAACAATCAAGTCAAATGCAAGCTGCTTGTAGATTCCTAACAGACACCAGCATTTTATATGTAAATCTACATTTCAGCTTTAGTTACAGTGAAGATATTCAGTCTTTGAGTCCAGATCTTGAATACAAAGAATAAAGATACTTACACAGATCTGAAACACTACAATGGCAATGGTAAGTTGATATTGATCTAAAAAACATTGAGATATAGCAGACTGTACCAGGAATATCATTACCACTGTACACTGAGAGCTGACATTATATACAGAATGAGATAGACGTAATTAGAAGCAGTGGCTGATATTTAGTGATAATAAATTTGACAAGAAATAATGAAACGTATTTGCTGCTGCTAATAATAATCCTTGTATTTGGTATAGTGCCTTATCAAGTCTTCTAGACGTCTCAGAGACCGTCACAGAATTAGACTGTGCATTTTGTGGGTGAAACGCAGCAGCCAATTGCGCACAGCAGCGTCCCACAAACAGTCGTGGATTGAGTGACCACATTCTTTTAAAGTATTATTATCCCCAGTGAAAGTGACCCATCAATCGACTAACTACAGGACTCCATAAATGTTGTCTGATCATTCCCTTTATCGCTCACAAAATATACACTCCACTTTACAGTATATTAATTGAAGCGCTTTGAGACGTCTCGAAGGCGGGATAAGGTGCTATGTCAAATGCAAGGATTATTATTATTATTTTACTATAGCACCTTTACTCTCAGACCTACCCGACAACCCAGATATGTTGCGGAAATTTTATTTTACTCCTTTGTCTTGGTGTATATGTGTGTTACAACCTCTGTTTTTCACAGACGCATTTGATTTTCCAATCTGTTATACGTTACACTTTTTTGAGCTATTCCCCCAGCTCAATGCAAATTTGCGCTAAATCATTTCTGCATTTGCCAAGGTTAAAATAAGGCTGTAAATGACATTTTAAGAGTGTCTAAATGAACCGTATGGAGTTCTAAGCAGATTGTCTTGAAGCTGGGGAGTACAGAATAAGATACAGTAAAAAAAATAAAAGGGAACATTCAATGAAATCCCAAACTTTCATATCTCCGTACAGATCCAAAGCTCTCTGATACTGTTTCCCAGAACACTTGACTTCTACTTGAGTTGGACTAGTGAGATACAGCTCGGAATAAAATAACTGCTGATTGCCAAACGACTCAGTCAGCAAAATCAGCCAATAGGGAGATGGTTATTAGATCAAGTTTCTGTCACAACCAAAATATCCTTCTGAACAGCTGATAGTAAGCTTCCTGTTACAGCGCATCAGAGAGAAGCGGTGGGTTTGTCTGCTGTGAGGTTACAGGGAGGAGGAAGGATTACTTACTTCAGGGAAAGAGATGTAGAATATTTAGTGGTTCAGCTAAAAGCTCCAGAATTCAAGTTGTCTGAAAATTGTCAGGAACCCGGTTGTTAGTCGATTGGCGGATTGCTTAATCAACAACAACACATTACACTTACACGGAGCCTTTCATGTCAGGAGGACGTCCCAAGGCGCTGGACAGTCAGAGATTTGGACCCGAGCTGGGGGTTGGGATCAGGAGGAATGGAGGGCAGGGAGGGTGGAGGGTAGGAGGGTGACAGAAGGCGCGCTCGAAGACTAGGGTCTTGAAATGGGCCTTGATTGAGGCCAGGGAGGGAGTGAGGTGAATGGACTGTGGGATGGATTTCCAAAGAGTGGGGACAGAACACCACAGTTAGTGAAAAAATATATCTCAGGCAGCATAACCACAATTAAAAATGTGAATGCAAAACATAATAACAAAGTAATAGGTAATAATGACTATAAAGGTGGAATTCATGTAACTTCAGCTCGTTCATGTAGACAAATTCATTTTTGCATAGAAAGATCAAGTGTATTTTGAAATCACCATTGATTTTTCTTTTTAAAAAAATTAAGCTACCCCCGTGTTACAAAGATGTTTAAAATTCAACATGTAATGACAAATGGGAACCCTGTCTGAATGTGGCAGTGTATTTCATTGGATTGTTACATTACCTTAAACATTATCAAGGGAGATATCAATACACTTATTAGTCTCTTACTCACTCATTGCCACTTCAAGTTATGCTTTGAAACTGCTGGTAAGAGGCAGTTTGGGAGCAGTCAGTTTCTCTAGCAATTCTCCTGATCACACACCATGAAGTTCAGTTCCAGTTACATTAGGAGTCAGTTTGGAAAGCTGTGAGCAATGTTCTTTATTCATAGTATCACAGTGGCGTCCTGTAGCTCAGTGGTTAGAGTACTTGCCTCATAAGCAAAAGGACCTGGGTTTGATGACCCGGCAGGGTGAAATGTTGGGCCAGTTTCCTTACTCCACACACACGCCTCTGTTTACTTAGCAGTAAGTAGGAACCCGGTTGTTAGCTGATTGGCGGATTGCTTTTCTGGGGGTAATAATCCCTTCCAAAAATAAATAAACAAACAAATAAATAAATACATAAGCAAATAAATAAATAAATAAATGAATAGATAAATAAAAATAAGAATTTGGCCACTCAATCCCTGGCTATTTGTGGGACGCTGCCGTGCGCAATTGGCTTCCGCATTTCGCCCACAAAATACACAATCAATTCACTTCACGGTAGATTCCATGAAGCGCTTGGAGGCGTCTTGAAGACGCTATATGAAAGTAGAAGAAATATTATTATGAGACAGCCCTGTGATTTCTACTCCAAATGTCTAAGGCTCAGGCTGCTTCTCAATAATAATTCCAAAGCTCGAAAGGCTGGTTAAGTGAGAGATGTTGATAAATGTGTACATTTTCCTTTATAATGTTAAACATTATAAATGTGGAGTCCTGTAGCTCAGTGGTTAGAGCACTCGCTTTGCAAGCGAGCCACCTGGGTTCAATTCCAGGCAGAGGGCGAAACCTTGGGCAAGTTTCCTTACTCCACACCTAATAATAGTCCCTCCAAAACAAAATAATAATAAATTGGTCATTTTCAATCCACGACTCTTTGTGGGACGCTGCTGTGTACAATTGGCTGCCGCGTTTCGCCCACAAATATATAGTCAATTCACTTTACAGTCTATTCTGTGAAGTGCTTTGAGACGTCGAGAATACGTGAAAAGCGCTATATCAACTGCAAAGATTATTGTACATTATTATTACATGAGAAACTAATGAAAATTTCACTTTGCCTTATAATCACGAATATAAATGCCATGAAATAGTTAAAAATGGTTGAGGATTTAAGCACGCATCTAACCTGGTGCTGCTCTTAACATGAGGTCATTAACCATTAAAGTATTAATTCAGTTGCAATGATTAATAAACTCGTCAAAGAAAGAGAAATGCCTGGGGGTGGGAGGGGGGCTGTCGAGACTTCACACATTATCTGTGCACTTCCACTCTCTTCTGTCAGAGAAGTATCTGTTCTTAACGATAATTATCAGCGATATTTTATTTCGTGTCCAAACCACAGTAAAAGTGTTATGATACGTGACTTTTGCTCAAAGAGTTTCCTGTCAAGTTTATCTTCACTGGGGAGGGGGGCGGGGGACAGAAAACAAAATGGGAGGATATTAATAATAATATTAATAATCCTTGCATTTGATATAGCACCTTGAGACGTCTCAAAGCGCTTCACAGAATATACTGTGAAGTGAATTGACTGTATATTTTGTGAGCAAAATAATCTTCTGCTTCAGAGACTATCTGATGACACGTTCCAGCCCGATCAACGGTAAAACCTGCTACTGAAGCACAGTAATATCGGTCGGTGAAATGGTTTTTCTTCTCATCTCACACCTCAGAGATCTGGAGGTGAACCTTGAGCATCCCTTGTATCTTTAAATCAGTTAAGTGTCTCTCACTGTTTGGTGATTTTGTGGTTGGTGCTCTGTTTCTCTCGAGTGGAGACAGTCATGAAAATGTGACCACCTTTTCCCAATGCCCTTAGGATTAAACAAGGCCGTGTGTGTTTTCCTTCTCTGCATTTCCCAGCTCCCTCTGTAGGCAGCAAAAGACTAACGAGAAAGGAATCAGCTGACCTGTGAATCAATCTACAGGAAGATTCCCCACAGTTTTCTCATCAATTTTGAGCATCGTGTGTCATCTGAAATTGTAAACTGCAAACATACAGCTCAGCACGTGGGCAGGCTTTACAAACCCACGTTAAGCAAAACTGTGCGATGGTGTATTTTGATCTTGTCTCTAAGAAGGGAGGACAATGGTCTGTCTGTGTGTGTCTCAAATGAATGTTTTATTACTAAATGAAGGTTGTTAACCCTCTGTGTGGTATGTTCAGCAGCACATATGCCCTACTTAAAGCCAAAGCAATTGTTGAAATACTTTCTTCTATTATATTACACTTATTGCGCTCACACTCTCACTAGCCACAGCTTTCAAAACACTTGGGATAAACAAATGATAAATTCTCCATTGAATTCTACCATTTTGCCACTGAACACTGACACTTGCAACATCATCAGAGCAAACTCAAAGTGTATTAAATCCTGTAATTAAACATATAATAATAATCTTTGAGGCGTCTCGAAGACGTGATCAGGCGCTACATTAAATGCAAGGATTATTATTACATTAATTATAATTATGCATTTTTGTCCAAATTAGAGCATGAATCGTATATTGTGTAAATGTGTGTTACATGGCATGACCCTTTCACCTCTGATCTCTGATGTGGGTTTATAAGAGTCACAAACCAAATGCACCAATGTTTCCTCCATCTGACAGGCCTCAGAGTCCTATGTGAATGTGTTTAGCAGGTTTCACCCCATTGGTTAATGACTGTAAACCCACAGCACAAAACTGATCTTAATGAGCGGTAATGGGCATTAAATTGTCTTCTCTTTCAAGCAGGTCATAAAGGCGGCTGATGGAAATGGAAAGGCCATTCTAGTATATTAAGGAATGTTTCTTACTTTGAGGTAAATGAACAGTGTTGAGGAAGTTTTATTTTGTCTCTTATCTGTTGGTGTTGTTGTTGTTGGGAACACAAACCTCCCTCCGCTCCACCATCGCCGGCTGCTGTTTCAGCCACTCCGCCCTGAAGCTATGGAACTCTCTCCTCCATTCCCTCTGCCTTGCCCCCTCCTTCCCCTCTTTTAGATCATGGCTGAAGACCTTCCTCTTCCACCGTGCTGACGGTCACCTCCTCCCTCACTCCCAGCTCCGTGTCAGGCTCCCCCCACTGTTAAGCCCTTTGAGACACTGTCCTGTGTGAAGTGCAATGTATAAATACAAGTTGTTGTTGTTGTGGCGGTGTTGTTGTTGTTTGCCTGATGTTAGAGTTTGTGATTCTCACTGTAGGTACAAAGAGACCAATATTCTCTCCTGAACTGATATCCTTCGTGACAACAGCCTCATTTCACTCAAACATTAAATAAAATTTGCTGTGGAGAAAAAAATCTGCCAGGAATGATTGAAATAGGAAACACACCAATGAATATGGTTTAGTGTAGCTCCTCCACAATGAACTGTGGTGCTCCACAGGCCTTCACACAAGAGCAACACTGAATCCAATAGCAGAACCAGCCCTGAAACATGTGGAGAGAGAATGTAGAACTGATGAATCCGAGATGCGTATACACGATTCTCTGTGGATCATATAAACCAAAGCCCTTTCACTGAAGCAGAAAATAACTATTTCTATATCAATACAATTCTACTGATATATTGTCCCTTTGTTCCCATTCTCTGAAACTGTCTCCCTCAATATCACCGCCTCTCTCCTTCCCTCCCTGCATCCCTGCTTTCAATACTTTATCTCTTGATTGCATCTTCAGCCACCTTCTTCCTACCCTCTCTATCTCCTCCCTTGCTCAGACTCCCGCCCAATTCCTGCAAAGTACTTTGAAATGTTTTTCTACCCGAAAATGCAACATAAGTGCAAGTTGTAATAAAATATACAGTCACTACACTTTAAGGTATATCCTGTGAAGCGATTTGAGTGGTCTCGAAGACGTGATAAGGCGCTGTATCATACACAAGGATTATTATACAAATGTAATTTTGTTATTGTTGTTCTAATAGGATGATGGGCATAGGAAGTTTAACAATACCGAAGGAGACTATTCAAATCTTTGTGTCTGTCTGTTGCTCGCTCCCCCATTATAACTGTCTACCCTTTCTTATCATTTGTCTGAAAATATATTGAGCTATTGAGCTGGGCTACTGTAGCCTCAGTATTCCAAATACCATTTTTACTTTAAGTATAATCCTATTATTTAGTCTAAAGCTCTAGTTAAATAGAGCGATTAGGGCTACCCAATGTACATTTGCACTGCTTCCACTGGGTAAAGGATTGGACCCGATTTTGGTTCATTTAGAATTTGCTGATGGTTTCTGTGAGCCTTGGATGACTGGTGTACTCAGCACTATTGTATTGTAATCAATAATTGCATTTAGTGCTGACATGCATTTTGTTCCATGCAGCAATCGCTGACAATCAAATCTGCGGAAATTAATCCATTTCCATTGGCTTGGTACAGATGTTAGCACTAAAAAATAATCCGAAGTGCAATCATCGTAGGCCTATTTCACATGATTTTACTCTCACAATTCTGAAATTTTATCCACGTCTTCGTTAGTGAATTAACCGTCAGATTTTCAAAAGTAAGTTGCTCCTGTTTGAAGATGATTATTGGTGTTGTAGACAGGAAAGCACTTAACCTTGTCTTCAGAAATGGTCATTTTATCTTTACATCGGTAACTCAATATGCATGCACTATCTGAAAGCCCTGAAGTATCCCAGCTTGCATTAAAAACAGGTACTATGGAACTCTAAGGATAATTTAACTGTAATTAATCATTTCTTTTTTTATTTAAAAAAAACTCCCGACACATTTTCACCTTTAAAGATTTAGCAAATAAATATAAAAATTTGCTCATGTTCTAATTGTATTTTATTTACTCAAAGTATGTTTTTCTCATACATTAATAGACCTTTTCAGTAGCTTTTAAATAATATTCAGTTGAGGTCACAGTGCTGACTGGATTTAGTTAAGAAACATAGCAATGAGCAAGGATTCACTGGTATTAATAATAATCCTTGCATTTGATGTAGTGCCTTATCGTGTCTTCGAGATGTCTCAAAGCGCTTCACAGGACACACTGTAAAGTGAATTGACATATATTTTGTGGGCGAGAATATACTTTCATTCTGTGAATGTCCTTTGTGATTTGTTGTCCACCCCCTCTCTGCCCCACTTGATTTTCTTGGGTGATTTAGAGATCTCTTCTCCTTTTCAAGGTAATCCACTGGTAGGTGGTTCATTCCCATTGGGAGGATTTGCTTGTGAAAGAACACACACACAGGTAGACTTCAG